TGCCAGAGCACCATGAGTGCTTGTAAAGCTGTGCCAGGGGTCCCGCAATGACCTCTGCTAATTCCCTCAGCACTCTGGGGTGGAGATTGTCAGGACCTGATGACTTGAACACATCTAGACCCACCAGAAGTTCCCTGACTAGGTCCTCACTAACCCTGGGCCTGGCAGCGCCTCCCCTGGGGCCATCAGGGATCCCAGTGGGGGGGGAGGGGGATGTCCCGGTCCCTGCTCAAAAAGATGGAGGCAAAGAAATTGTTAAAGAGGTTAGCTTTGCTGTCTGGTGTGACCATCAGATTTCCTAGTGTATTCTGCAGAGGCCCTACATAACCTGGTACCTTCTTTTTACCCCCCATGTGTTTAAAAAAGGACTTCTTGTTATCTTTGATTCAGGTCGCTAGTCCCAGTTCCATCTCTGCCTTAACCTTCCTAACAGGTCCCCTACAATCTCAGGCAATGGAGGTATAATCCTCCTTGGTGATGGCCCCTCCCTTCCATTGGGTGTATGCCTCCTTTTTAGCTCTGAGATGTTTGTGGATGCTTTTGGTGAGCCATGGGGGCTTTTGAGCACTTCTGTCCTCTGATCCGCTTTGGGATTGTCACCCTTTGGGCTTGGAGGATTGTCTCCTTAAGGAATGACCACTCCTCTTGGACTTCGAACTCTCCTCCCCTCCAGGACCTCAGTGCCTCCTTGACTAGTCTCCTTACCTCATTGAAATCTGCCCTCCTGAAGTACAGGGCTGCTGCCTTGCTGCAGGCCTTTGACACCCTGTGCTGGATGGTGAATTCCAGTAGGCAATGATTGCTATCGTCCAGGTGGTCAAGAACCCGCAGTCCACTCACAAGGTCATTGCCTGTGGCCAGGACCAGGTCCAACGAGGCATTTCCCTTTTGTGGGACTGTGTACCTCCTGGGTTAGATGGAGATCCTGTAACTTGACTAGGAACCTATGTGAGCGATCAGACCTGGCTGACTGCTCTTCCCAGCAGATGTCCGGATAGCTTAGGTCAGCCATGATGACCATGTCCCTTGACCTGCCTCTGCAATATGACCTGAGAATTCCTGGTCCAGCTCTTCCCCCTGGTTGGGGGGCCTGTAGTGCAAACCCCTACCATTAAGTCCCTTCCCCCCCCCCAATCCCCTTGTATACAGACCCAGAGCACCTCAATCTGCACCTGCTCTGACCTGGTGCTGTTTGTTGAGGATGTGTATTGCTCTTCAACGTAGAGTGTCACACCCCCACCTTTTCTCTCTGTTCTATCCCTCCTGTACGGCCTATAGCTTCTGATGTTTACTGCTCAGTCATGCGTTGGATCCCACCAAGTTTCAGTGAGCCCCACTATGTCCGGGTCACTGTTAGCTAGCAGGAGGGCAAGTTCCTCCCGCTTGTTCTCCATACTACGAGCATTAATGTAGAAGCATTTAAGGCCTCCTGAAGGTGCATGCACTGCTCCCCCCTAATCCCAGGACTGTCTGGGCCCCTGTCTCTTACCTGGGTATTTCTTGTGCTCGTTGCCTGTCTTAGCTGGGCTGTTCTTGTGGGTGGTTCTTTGTTCGGTGTTCCGTGGCTCCCTCTGTCCTCAACTTCCCCTTCCCCTTCCCCTTCCCCTGACCAACCTAGTTTAAAGCCTGCCAGAGGAGATGGACCAACCTGGAAGAGAACACACGCTTACGTTTTGGGGAGAAGTGGAGCCCATCCCACCCAAACATGTCTCTTGCCCTGAAGTATGGGTTGTGGTCCAAAAAGCTGAAGCCTGCCTCGAGACACCATTTCCAAAGCTGCAGGTTGACCTCCCTGATGCAGAACTCGTGGCGTCGTCTGCATCTGCTCACTAGAAGGACAGATGAGAAGACTACCTGTGCCCCTGTCTCCTTCAGTTTGTTCCCCAGGGCTTGGTAGTCCTTCATCAAGTGATCGGGGTTGTTCTGGATGCATCATTAGTGCCTGCATGGATTAGGACCATCGGTGGGCTGGATAATGGCCGGGATCATCTCCGTCACATTCTGAATCCTCGCTCCAGGCAGACAGTAGACCTCACATGACATAGGATCCTGGCGACAGATGGAACCCTCTGTACCTCCTCAGGATGGAGTTGCCTATGATAAGCACCCGGCGTCTCTGCTTCCGGGTCAGCTTGCCTCCTTCAGCCTGTTCTGCGCGTAGACTGGCCCCCTCTCCAGAGGTGTCCTCCTCTCCTTCCTCTTCCTTCAATGCTGCCAGGGTCTCATACCTGTTCCCCAGCTGGACTGGGGGAACTGGTACTGCATTGCTGCATTTATTTATTATTTTGGTGCCGTGTCTTTGCCTTACCTTTGCCATAGACTTCCTCCTCCTGGCTCCTCCTGTTTGCCCGCCTGTCCAAATGCTGGCGTACCCTGACAGAACTTGCCTGTTTGTGCTCTGTTCACACGCGACTCCTTACCGGCTCAACTAAAAGGGATCTGGGGAGCTGCTCCTCCAGATCCAGCTCAGCTGTGCCAGCTCCCTCTGCCCCACTTAACCTTACAGGGATCAGCTGCTGCTGCCCCCATTGCTGCCTCCACTATTGCGTCTGCATCTGCATCCGGTCAGGTAAGGGGGCACACCTGTGTGCAGGGCCACACATGTGCCCAGCTCCCTTCTCTGCTCTCTGTTCCTGAATCCTCTTGCGTGTCCCTGCACCTGGACTCCTCTTGTAATTGGGAGGAGTCCAGCTGCAGCTCCCTCTGGTGACTTTGGTTTGGGGAGGGGATCATGGGGTGAGGGAGTTCCCAGCAGTTGGACTTCTACCTCTCTCTCAGGGAAGATTTCTACCACTGCATATTTCCCAGCAAACTTCACAGCAAATTTTCCCAGAAATTTGCAGCGGTAGAAATGGATGCTTGCCCATAGCCTAAGTAACAATGCACTTGTTAATCTGTGCTGTTAAGGGGATAGTCTTAACCTTAAAGTCCGCATAATCTTGGATAGTTTTATTTAAGTGTGTTAAGTTTTTCTAGTGTGGTGTAATGACAAGACCAAATTAAAAGTGCCTTTTTTTTTCTTTTTTTTTAAGTCTATTTTCTGTTTCGTAGACCAGCTTTCCAGGTACCTTCTTCAGCTTTGGATACTTGGACAAGCTTTTGGGTTCCATGTCTCTACCAACTGTACAGTGGGCGCATCTACACATGCCCCTACAACGCTGTTGTTACTGCGCCATCATTTAGAACTTCTTTTTACAAATACTAAATGATGGCACAGTAACAGCCTGCATGTGCACAGTTATTTTTAGCTGCTGTCACCATAGCAACGTGCTGTACTGAGGGAGCACATCGCTACAGTGACGTAGCTGCAGCATCACGGTTTTTGCCTGAGAGTGCTATGCTATGGCAATATGACACAGTAGCGTTACATGTAGATGTGCCCAGTTGGTCCAATAAATGATACCAGCCACAAAAATCTTTGCTTTTCACACTTTTCCTGGACTGTCCTAGCTACAACATCACCTCAGTACCACTTTTTGTTTTGTAATTCTTTGTGAACATACTCAAATATGTTTTTGATACTCTGATACTTTTTGGAACGGTTGTGTCAACTTGTTACCCTTTTGCTGCTATTAACTGCATTCCTTTTGAGAAGAGCATAAACTAGAATTGTTGATTTTTTTTTTTTTCCCAAGATGTCAAGGTTAGTAAACAAGTTAAGGACTTGTTTAAAAACAAAGATAAAAAAAATAGAACACAGGAGCTACAACCTAGCTGACAGATGTCCGCATTCATTTGCTACTCACCCAGCAAAGAGGTTCTCTTCTACTAGAGCTGTTGCCTTGTCACTTTCACACCAGAATGCATTGTGGGTTTGAAGAGTGATGCCTCATGTATTCTAAAATGCTTTTGAGGTACTTAATAACACCATTTCTTTTTTAATCTACACTGAATACTAGAAATGTGCCAGATTATTTTTGTAAATCTGTGCTGAAATCTGTTTTGCCTATGAGTTGCTCAGTATCAGCCACTCCTTTTTGCTTTGAAAATTTCAGAATTTGGAGCAGAAAAAAGGTGGATCTTTAACAGTTAGTGTAATTTAATCTTTTGAATATTTTACTATGAAATGTAGCCGATTCTTAGTAATTTGAAGTCTCTAGAAAGGTATCTAGTTGCAGTTATTAATGGGTGAGGTCCTGTTAGGCATGAGGCCAGATTGTTACAATAGTTTCTTCTAGACTGGAAATCTTATTTGTATGTTTTCAGAGAAGTGTTTTTCTTTAATACTTAAGTTACATTTGTAGCATCTGATGAAGAAGGTTGCTACCTATAGAAACTCATGCTTCTCTAAACTGATTAGTCTCTAAGGCACAGGCCAGTGCTACCTTCTGCCCTAATGCTTTTCAGTAATTGTAATGGGTATCTCATGGCTATGTGTCTAATATCTTTTTGGCATAAATAGTGTTATGGTTATTAGTGAGTTAAGTCTAAAGAAGTTTATGTATGTACCAAAGAGCAGTCAGCAATAGTATAAATCAGTAAAGGGTGAATTTGCATTTAAAATATGTACAACTGGTTAGTCATCTTGTTATCATCTACATGAATATATATTTTAAGTGTTATATATTTGCATAGCAAAATACAACTTGGAGAGAGAACTTCTGGAAAATAGTAGGTAAAGCACAAAAATACAGCTTTTTATTCTGGATTATTTTTAAAAAGATGAAAAAGTCTGTTCTGTAACAATGTTAAATGAGGAATTGCTGTATTTACTTGAATATCAAATGATCCAGATTATAAAATGACCTTACAGTAACTAGATTCTATATATGGACAACCTATATATTTATTTTTTCCAGGTATAGAATCTAATTATTGGAGGTTTGCCATGAATTTGTCCCCTTCCCACTGCTACAGGAAGGAAAATAAATATGAGGGATCAGGTCACCCTCTTGCCCTCAGCCTACGCCCTTCACCCCAGCTTCTTTCCCTTGCAGCCTCTTTCCTTACTTTCAGATTCTGCTCTCCCTGAGCACATGGAAGTGAGGAACAAATTTGAGAAGACTAACCTAAAAATAAACATGCTTGTAGTAACTTGCATATAGGAATCAACTATAGGTACCCATAGACTTAGTTTATCCAGAACAGATGCAGTTTACTTTTTTTTTAAACCTGCTGCAAGCTTTAGTACAGGTACTCCATAACACACTCTCTTAAGCAGCACTTCTGTACCTACTGGTATATAGTACGAACTATGCATGGCATTAATCCAAAGCCAAAAGGCTCGGTGATTTCCATATAGTTCATTGGGCTAGGCCACAGCAGAGTTAATAGCATTTCAGCCCCACAGCTCAGCACTGTTTAGTATGTGTGCTTGGTCTAGATCCCCCCTCCTCCCCCCACAAAGGACCCATGTGTCAGTTAGCCCCCCACTCATGACTGGCATTGGGTGTTCTTGTCATGAGTCCTGGGGTACTCCAAAGACTTATATGCAGATGAGTCTGGTCTTGTTCCATCTCATGGAGGGTGGGACCACACTAATCATATGCAGTAGCTGAGGGGGATGAGAGGGGGATTCTGGGTAAGCTGTATAGGGTCCTGTTCAGTAATATTTGCCAGACATTTAAGGCTAGTTTAAAAACAGGAAGGTTCGGCTCAGCTGTGGGAGTGAAGAGGAAGTTGAAATGTATTCAGTGTAGTGGCTCACCATGACTGTAAAAAGAGTCAGTGCTATGGGGAACTGCATGCGATGGGTGCTATCATATTTCTTATTCAGGTGGGTTATACTAACCCAGAGGTCCACAACCCCTGGGCTACAACCTGGTAGTAGGCCGTGAAGGGTTGGCTGCCAGACCAGAAGTCTGGAAGTGACTGGCATATGTGAACTGGCAGCCAACTCTTTTTTGTTTTTATTTTATATCAAGTATAAAAAAAGGGATGGCTGCAGGTCTGCAGTATGCTGGTCACTTCTGGTCTTCAGTATGCTTGTCTGTAGTCACTTCTGATCTGCAGTCTAAAAAGGGATGGGTTAGTACAGTGGTTCCCAACTTGTTAGTTCCCATTGGTATGTTTGTCCTATATCAACCATGTGTTTTATAGTCATGCTCAGTGTTGGCTGCATTTAATTAACTTCATAGTTGGTTTTCATTGCTGAGTATGTGCTGCTTTTGGCAGCAGCTTAATGATAGGTGATATACTTAGTGAGGTTTCCTTGTATGTAAATATAAGATGGAGGTGCTTCCTTCTCACCCTTTCATAGTTTTGTAGTAGTTTGGGGTCAGAAGGGGCCTGACCCCAGATCATCTAGTCTAACCCCCTGCCACTGGCCGGAGCACACGCTGGGATTACACGACCCCAGACAGGTGTTCGTTCAACCTCTTTTTGAATTTAGTCTAACCCTCTGCCACTGGTCAATAATTTGGTCTAACCCTCCCCCATGTTGATTGGGTGGGGAACCTAGTTTTATATACGAGTAATTACAGCATTCACTGAAATTAACAAATTTATTTTTCTAACGTCCCAAGCTTTCAGTGACCTGCTAGACCATAGATTTTTAATATGTTTGTTGTGAGAAATATTTCATTGTATTCAAGGACAAAATTAATTACTTTATTCTTAAGGAATATTTATTTCCAGTTTGAGCAAATTTATAATTTTCCTCATTTGCTGTGCATGGCAGTATACCATTTTCCATGAATTCTGTCATTTTGTTTCTCCACCTCAAAATTAGTGGCAGGAACAACAATTTGAAAGTTTGTTTTTGGTTGATGGTGGGGGGACCCCATATTTCAGGTTGGACCAAACTGCCCCTAAGGTCTTTCTGCTATAGTGGTTTCCATAAATTACTTTCAGTTGCACTTAATAATACTATTCCTTTTTTCTCTTGTTTTTTTTTCTTTTTCTGTTTTTAAAGTTAAAGCAGTCCTTAAAAAGAGAGAGTATGGACCAAAATATACACAGAATAATTTCATCACTGGAGTGAGAGCGATAAATGAATTTTGTCTTAAATCCAGGTACAGTAGTTTGAGTTGAAATTATAGTTGTTTAGATATTTTTGATTTGTGAAGATGGTTTTTCAAAAATGATATCTGGTGCATATGAATGGCATAGCACTGTTGTAATGTATGTATGACATTGTAGCCTAGGTTGGCATATCTTCTGAAAGGTGGCTAAGTTTCAAGTTAATTATATCATGGTGACTGATTTGATTAGGTTGATACTTTCTCTTTCCTAGAGAGAGAGAGAGAGAGAGAGAGTGTGTGTGTGTGTGTGTGTGTGTGTGTGTGTGTGTGTGTTTTGGGTAAACCCTAGCTGGAGGTGTTGGGTAAAATCACTTTACTCTCTCCTCCCTATATATAAGTGATTTTACCCAACACCTCCAGCTAGGGTTTACCCCAAACATCCAAATCAGTCCATAAGCAGGAAGATGGGTTAGAGCAAGCACCATGTTGAGACAGGAGATGCCCGCTTCACACACTAACTCCCGTCGCATTATTGCAGCATGATGCACGGACTAATCCATTCTAAGAAGCAGTATGCAAATGCAGTTATATTGCCTTCAGTTCGGAGCTAGCGTAACTGTATCCCATCATTTGTCTCCTATGGGGCTGCACCAATCATATCTGTTAAAGTAAAAAATTGGTAGCTAAGTACCACAGCAACATACACAGCAACAGTATTAATGCAGCCTGAGACATACTATTATTGAAAAAATGGGTGTGTCACCTGGGTATTGGGGCTAATCTCTTTAGCTTTTTCTAGTGTCGTGAACTTTAATTTCCAAATCAGTAGCCACCAAAGAGGATTAAGAGGGACTGTTTCTTAATTTATTGTCTGAAGAGTGACTTGCATTTGTATGCAAGTCAACGACCAACAAAAGCGACTTTTAAATATTGCTTGTTACAATTTTTATTGCTATTGAACTTTTAAGTAAAAAAACCTCACAAAACCCTTTAAATTTAAGTTTTATGTCCACTTCTTTAGACATCTGGGAATAGGGGATGCTGGATAACAAAATATGCTGGTTAATTGAGTGGCCTGGGCTGCCGCTTCTCCCACCGCCCCTCTCGCTACATTGCCACCCCTCCTGTGGGCCCCATGGGACAGGGAGGTGGGCCTCACAGAGCCCCGCACAGCCTGTCATGTCCCCAGACTGTGGGGGCTTGGCAGTGCAGGCTGCTTTGCCCCAGGCTGTGGGGGCTCAGAGAAACCAGAAGTGCCATGGTGGAGGCTTCTGGTTTCACTTTATCTTACAAGCCGGCATGCTGGTTAACAGAGCACGCCAGCTTGTAAGATGCTGGTTAACAGAACTTTTACTGTATACCATTTTGGTTACTAAATGTATCCTATTTTTAAGTAAGAGTAAATATATGAACTATTACATTATATGTCTTATGTATAATAGGAACTTGACTTTTACGAGCAGTAATCCATGCCCATCTTTCCTTAGTGATCTGGAACAGCTGAGAAAAATTAGACGACGAAGCCCCCATGATGACACTGAAGCTTTCACTGTGTTTTTACGATCAGATGTAGAGGCAAAGTAAGAATCTCTGTTTTTTTGTTTTTTTTTAAATGGAATAATTTGGTTTATTTAATTTAGATTATTTAAGAAGATGATAAATACTATATAATTTTTGATCACACTTCTTATGAAAGGGACAGTAGTGGTTTTTTTTTCCTTTTCTGTATCTCTAAACCATTTTGTCACCCCTATTGTTGTAGCTAGGAGTCGTGAACAGAATTGAAGGCTATGTTGTATGTTTTTAAAAAGAGCTCTAATGTTTCTTTGTCTGAAAGGTTTTTATCTATGAGGCTAACTTTTGGAGCAAATGTTGGTCAGCCATTATGCTTCCCTGTTGGACAAGCCTTGTTCAATCAAAAACTGTGTAGAGAACTTCCCCATATATTGTTACATGAAGATTTGTTTGTGTAAATCAAAAGAATTCCCAAATTATTCACTTGTGTTTTGTGCAGGTCTTTAGAAGTTTGGGGTAGCCCAGAAGCTCTTGCTAGAGAGAGAAAACGACGTAAAGAAGCAGAGATAGAATACAGAGAAAGTAAGTGCAATTTTCAGGTATCTACAAATGCTTTATAGGTTACTGAACTCCAGTTTCCTAATTTTTTTAGGAAGATGTGCATTGATGTGAGGGTGATGTGTTAACAGACATGTTTGTTTGACGTAGAGATCTCACTCCAGAGTGCTAGCATAAGAAATACTACACATTCTTCTCTGAATAAAATGCATACTGACTGTGTTGCATACATACAACATTCAGGTTATTCTTAATGGAAACTTTCTTGCTTTTTTGTGGGTAGATGATAAACATCTTAATTGGTTTTAAAGAATGCTTTGCCTCCTGTGTGGGGAACTTTCACAAATTCAAACAACCCAACCCAGTGTTAAATCGTTGCTCTATCTGTCTTGTGTTTATAGCACTTGTTTGGCTACATATTATCTGTTTATTTTGATTATTAACTTTTAGCATATAACGGTTTATTGCATAAGTCAGACCTAGAAAAAGTCAAGAAATTGTGTGAAGACTCGTTGTACAGAAAAAAGTTTCCACTTGCAACATACAATTTATCACATTGTTTCTGTAATTTGGAGGTGATGCACTTCGCTTTTAATTTGTTTTAAATGGATAAGTACATCTTACTTTCCGGGGGCAACCTGCAAAGGGTGAGATATTAATATAAATTATTATTGTTTAGATTTGTGATATATATCATAAATGCTATATCATATATATTAGGCCATTTGTTGAGCAGTGTTCCTAAGGGAAGGAGAACTGATTTGTAGGGCTGTGTGAAATGGCAGCGTTCCGTTTCGAGCAGTGTTTCAGCGTTTTGACAGAACAGTGTTCCGTTTGGAATTTTGTTTTGATTCGAAACAGCTGTTCCGTTCTGTCGAAACAGTTTCGCCGTTTTGACATTTCACCCATAGGATATAATGAGGAAGGTCAAAACAGGCTATAACCTTGTCATTTCTGGCTTGGTATGGATGAAACTTGTAGGAATGGTAGCCCCTTGTGAGGGCATGAAGCCTGCCAAGTTTCAAGGAGATAGGTGCAGGGGTTTGAAGGAAACTGTACCTCAAGCTGTGCACAAGCAAAACTCATGACATGGGTGACACTGTGTGTTTAAGGCGCTGCAGGTATCTTAGCCCCTGCTGAAGCCATGAAGCCTTCAAGCTGTTAAGGAGATAGGTGCAGGGGGGTTCTGGGACCCTGCATCTCTAGCTGCTGACAGGCAAAACTCATGACATGACATGGGTGCTTGTGCATCTGACTGTGTCTGTCTTGGGACAGAGGGGTGTGAAAACTGCAGGCCTGCTAGGCCCTGCTGTGGCCATGATGTTTGCTACAAAGGACCAACTTGCAGGATCATCATAAAATTCTAGCTTATTAGATGGATGCAAAAGTCAGATCATAAACTTTGGGGTTGATCCCGCCACGCACCACACACACAAACTATGAATACTAAGCACTGGTGCTAACGTTGTTATATGGTACAACTTACTTTTAAACAAAGTACATATGTTACAAAGTTAAGGTGTGCTTGTAATAAATATATCTTGTAGGTGCTTTTATGGGTGTAAAATAGTATTCTGTATCACTGTGTTTCCCTGTATTTAGTCTGTTGTATGTGCCGTGGCATTTTACCCTTTTTATATTTTATGCTTTTTAACTTTGTAACTAATGTACTTTCTTTAAAAGAAAGTTGTACCATATAACAATGTTGGCAAGCGTGGTAATTGAACCGCCACCTCCCTGTATTGAGCTGGTCCCTGAGTGAAACATGATTGGTTGCATAACATGGTAGCTAGCTACAATAATGAGTTAATGAGCAAGGATTAACATCTAGGAAACTACAGACTAAGGAGAATAAAGAATCAATACAGAGCTGGGAACTCCTTGAAACTTCACTGTTAAAGGTACAGAAGCCCCGGTTTGAACTAATGAATGCTGGAGACCCGACTCTTGGGACTGAATACCCCCTGATCAACCATTCCCAGAGCCCTATTCATTATGGCAGTGAATTTAAAATTTATCAATGGACTCCCATGACTGCATGTACTGGCAGACATGACCCCTGGGGATGACAGCTGCCATCCAGCAGCCACCAAGGGGGACGTCCTACAAAGTCAGTGACCCCTGGATTGGACAAGTGTGAGAACTGGGGAGTCGCCAAAGTCTGCCAGAGAAGGCTAAAAGGCAGTGAAGAATGACCCCCAATGGTGCCCTTCTTGAGATGAGCCCCCTCCCTGTCCAGCCAGAAGGACCAGCCGGCGACCCCCTTCTGAAGCAACATCGCACTGAAAGAAGC